TTTTTTTTGAGGTAGGCCTGTATTGCTATAAACTTCCATCTTAGTACCACTTTTGCTGCATCCCATAAGTTTTGATATGTTGTGTTTTCATTTTCATTTGTCTCCAGGTATTTTTTGATTTCCCCTTTGATTTATTCATTGATCTAATGGTTTTTCTGTATCATATTCTGTTGTCTCCACCTATTTGTCATTTTCCCAGCTTTTTTCTTGTAGGTGTTTTCTAGTTTCATTGCATTGTGGTCAGAAAAGATGCTTACTGTGATTTCAATATTCTTCAATTTATTGAGGCTTGCTTTGTTTCCCAGCATATGTTCTATCTTTGAGAATGTTCCTGGTGCACTTGACAGAAGGTGTATTCTTTTGTTTTTGGATGGAATGATTTTCATATATCTATTAAGTCCATCTTGTTTAGTGTTTCATTTAAGAGACCTTAAATGAGACCCCTTAATTAAATGTTAATTAAATGTTTCATTTAATTAACTTTCTGTCTGGATGATCTATCCATTGATGTAAGTGGTGTGTTGAGGTCCCCAATTATTATTGTGTTGCTGTCAATTTCTCCCTTTTGGTCTGTTAATAGTTGTTTTATATACTTTGGTGCTCCTGTGTTAGGTGCCTATGTGTTAGTAAGTGTTATGTCTTCTTGGTGGAAGGTCACTTTTATCATTATGTAATGCCCATCTTTGTCTCTCATTATCTTTTCTTGTCTTGAAGTCTGCTTTGTCTGATATAAGTATGGCTACACCTGCTCTGTTTTGCTTGCCATTTGTCTGGACTATCATCTTCCCTCCCTTCACTCTGAGCCTATGTTTGCCTTTCAGCTGAGATGTGTTTCCTGGAGATAGCATAGTAAATTGGGTCTTGTTTTTTAATCCATCCAGCCACTCTGTCTTTTGATGGGTGAATTCAATCCATTTATGCTTAGAGTGATTATTGATATGTGAGGGCTTACTGTTGTCATTTTATCTTTCATTTTCTGAATGCTTTACATTTCCATTGTTTCTTTTTCCTTCTATTTCTGTCTGCCATTTCAGTTGGTGATTTTCTGTGATGTTTTTCTCTGTTTTCTCTTTATTAATACTTTGTGACTTTGCTCTGATTTTTTGTTTTGTGGTTACCATGAGGTTCATATAAAAGATCTCATCAATGTGATAGTCCCTTTTCTGATAGCCTCTTATCATCATTAGCCTAAGTAGGTTCCAACTGTGTCCTCTTCCCCTTGTATGTTTTTGTTGTCACCAATTATTTTTTTTGTGTTGTGAGTTTGTGACCAAACTGAAGTGGTTATATGTATTTTTGATGCCTTCTTTTCCTTTAGCCTTTGTGTTATAATTAAGTGTATACTAACCTATTCTGATACAGAGCTACAATTTTCTGATTCTTTCTGTCTATTTATCTCTTTGCTCAAGGCTTTGTAGGCATTTGCCTTCTTTTTGTTTCAGGTATGAGGGCATTCTTGATCATTGTTTGCATTGGAGATCTAGTGGTGATGAACTCCCTCAGCTTTTGTGTGTCTGGGAAAGCCTTTATTTCTCCTTCATCTCTGAAAGATAATTTTACTGGATAGAGTATTCTTGGCTGATAGTTTTTGCCTTTCAGTGTTTTGAATGTTTCATTGCACTCTCTCCTAGCCTATAAGTTTTCTGCTGAGAAATCCACTGAAAGACTGATGAGGGTTCCTTTGTAGTTTATTTTCTTCTCTCTTGCTGCCCTTAATATTTTTCTTTGTGATTGACTTTTGACAGTTTTAATATTATATGCCTGTTAGAGGTCTTTTTGCAGTGAGGTAATTAGGAGTTCTATTGGTTTCATGTACTTGCATTTCCAGTTCTTTTGCCAGGTTTGGGAAGTTCTCAGCTATTATTTCTTTGAATAAGCCTTCTGCTCCTTTCTGCTTCTCTTCTCTTCCTGGGATACCTATAATCCTCATGTTACTGTTCCTCATTGATTCAGGTATTTCTCATAGAATTTCTTCATTTTCTAAAAATCTTAGTTCTTTCCCCTCCTCCACCTGAATCATATCTATGTTTGTGTATTTGAACTTACTGATTCTCTCCTCCACGTGGTCTACTCTATTTTTTACACTTTTGACATTATTTTTCATCTCATTAATTGTGTTCTTCATCTCCAGAATTTCTGTGTGTTTTTTTTAGAGTTTCAGTCTTTTTGTTGAAGTACTCCTTGTGTTCATTACTTTTATTCCTGAGCTCTTTGAACTGTCAGTCTGAGTTTTCTTATAACTCGTTGAGTTCCTTTATGACAGGTATTTTGAATTCTCTGTCAGTTAGATTGTAATCTTCTGTGACTTCAAGTTTAGCGTCCAGAGAGTTGTCACTCTCCTTCTGTTCTGCCATGTTACAGTAGATGTTCATGGTGTTTGATGAATTGATCCTCTGCTGGCACATTTGTGGTAGTAACCACCTTTCTTATTTGGACACAGATTTGTTTACTTTTGTTCTCGGCTGTGTCTGGTTGTATTTGAGAGTCTGCACTTTCCACAGTCCACTGCCTCTGTCAGAGGTGTTGTCAGTGCCCTCCTTGTGTCCCGTTTGACTCTGAGGTTGCTGGTGCCTTGCTGCTTATGATGTCACTGCCGTCTCAGGTGTCGCCACTGGTGTTAGGGGCTGCAAACACTTCTACTGCTTCTAGAGTTACCTGGATCTCGTGTCCGCTATTGGCTTTCTGTCAGCTCTCCATGGGCTCATGTTTTGCTGCTGCTCCTGGGTTGTCTGGAGGTGTTGGCTGCACCACTGCCAGGGGTGCCGGGTTCACAGATGTCTGTTCCTGTTGGGGGCCAAGGAACCTGGAGACTGGTATTCAGCCCCTGCTGGTTGTAGAGCTGATGTCAGGGGTGACACCACTGGTGGCTGGGTCGCCAGTTCCACTGTGGTTCCTGAAGCCTCTGGTTTCAGGCTTCAGATGTACAGATGAATGGATCTCTTATGCTTCCTGTTGTGCTATGTAGGGAATATTCTGTTGATCATTGGATATCCAGTTGGTTATAACTTAGAGAGGAGCAGCAGAGGGAACAACTCACTCCACTATGATGCTGACATCACCTGAGATAAACATGTATTTCCGTCATTACACCTATATGATGGAGTGTTCTCCACAAATGTGAAATAATTGAATTCTAACCCTTACCGTGTTTTCATTTTATGATGCTTTCATGAGGGAAGATTTCATATAATCTTCACAAAAACAGTAGTAGATTCGATTATTGCTCCAAATTATTTAGTCAGCTGTTACTTCATCAGATTCTAAGGACTTAGTAGCCACAGGAAGAATCATATATAGTTCTACAAATTCAGAAACATTTCCTACTTCTGCTAGAAGTTCCATTTGTTTGTCATGTATCACTAGCATCTTCATGGCCTGTCTAATTATGCTCAGTTAAATCAGATCCCCGTGTTTGTATCCTTTGGTCACACCCTGAGACTAAAGAAACATGGTTTAGAGGTGGTAATTTGAGATGTCTGTGGCTGAGGAGAAGGGGTTTCCCCAGGACTGAGAAGATAATTTAAGGTTCCAACTCAGAGGAAGGGGCAGATGTGTCAAAAGTGTTTAGACAGGGCTTTCCTTTCTCTGACACTAAGGGAAAATATTCACTTCTATCTATCTGTCTCTGCCTCTCTCATTACCTATCTTTTCTATCTATATATCTGTCATCTATCTATCTATCTGTCTGTCTATCTATCATAGATATATCTATCTCCATCTACTAGAGAATCAAAAGTGCATCCTTGAACACATCAGTCACTATTTTCTAGGAGAACCATTTCCAGGCACATTTATTAATGTTTCTTTGATCTCAAGCTATTCAGATTATACTTTTTGAAGGACAGTCCATAAGATTGAATGATTGAGTCTAAAACCTGCTGTCTCATGTTATACAGCTCCAGGACTAAGAATGATTTTTATATGGTTTAATGATTGAAAAATTCAAAAGAAAATCAATGTTTTGTGACACATGAAGATGATTTGAATTCACAATTTAGTGTTGTAAACAAAGTTTTATTGGAACACAGCCATGCCCGCATGGTTATGTGTCACCTACAGTAGATTTTATGGCTCCATTTAAGGGCATCTTACAGCTGTAGCAGGCCTCAGCCAATAGGACCCCCAGGACCAAGAGAATCAGGCCAGCCAGGCTCATCTGGACTTGATTCTCTGCAGAAGCATGCCAAACAGCAGGCTCTGAGAGAAAAAGAATAGAAGGCCACAGAAGTGGTACGAAGGCCCATTCCGCTAATATACCCTAAAACTCAAGCCCATTAGTCCAGTTTACTGGTCTAGCATGTAAGCAACCCAGCCCACCCCCACAGTATAAGCAATTACTTACCATGATTTCCTCCTGTCATTATGGGTGTAGCGGTGATCCCATGAGGGAATTCTGGGGTCAAGAAAGACAGGAGTGGGGAACAGGGTGCCTCCCGTCTGCCCCACTGGAGCCCTGCCTGCTCTTTCCTTGCTATGTGTCTGTGATTAAACCACATACCCAGCAAACAGGGACTAGCCTCTTTGACATTCCATTGGCAAGTGAAGCTTCTCTCTACCTCATGCCTTTTGTACATGCTATGCCCTCTGCCTTCCTTGCTTCTTCTAAAGATTAGCAGTTACTCACCAGGTGAATGTCTGGGGTTCGTGGGATCAGGATCCACAGGAGCTTCTGCAAATGGGGATGAAATGGGAGTGGTTTTCCTTCTCTCTGCTCAGGCTCATTTCTACCCACATTCCCAATGACTACCCTGCCCTTCCCCAGCCCCCTGGCAGGTGGTAGGAGGGCTGCATTGTGGGTGAGGGGAGTGAGTTCCTCAGAGCTTCCTGTCTAAGCAGACGGTGGTGACACTGCCTTCCCACCCCACTGTCTCCTTTTTCCAATCACTGCTCCACCTGGACAGTGTCGGGTCTCTCGGAGGGGACAGGGTTGTGGTTGGGTTGTGACTTCCTCACCTCTGACTTGAAGCTGCAATGGGTCACTGGGGTGAGACCACACATAGGGGTAATTGCGGAGGGCACCGCAGCATCTGTATGTCCTGGGCTGTGTGGAGGAGACGTGATTCAAGAGGAAGACAGCATGAGGTCCACCACCCTTGGGAGTGGAGCTTTGGTCCTGGATGGTGAGAACATCGTCTTCTTCAATAAGAATAAATGCATCAAACTTGAGTGTTGAGAAACACTGTAACTTCACATTCTTCCCTGAAGCCACCACAGTGCCAGTCATGCTTGAGAGGGAGGGTTTGTCATAAGCTCCTGGGAAAGAAGGAAGTTTGGTGACAAAGAGCAGGGCCACACACATGCATTGTCCCTTTTTGTTCCCCAGGAGCAGATAGGGCTCTGGTTTCTATCCCCTCCTTGTCCCGCCCTGAGGAATCTGTCTCTGCATCACCCTCGATTCCTTCCTAAGGATAGGGGTTTTTGTCCTCTGTGCCTTTGTAACTGCAAAGTCTGGTTCTTCCCTCTGTAAAGGTGTCAGTCCTGGCTCTGCTGCCTCTGTGTACACTCACCGGACAACACCAGCTGCAGGGGTTGCTGAACTTGGCCCAGCTGTGTCCACTCTGATAGGAGCAGTGGTACAGCCCTGCTTGGTCTGGTGTCATCTCTGCAATACGCAAAATATTGGTAGTGTTAGACAGCAGTTGTTTCTCTGTGTCTGAGGGCTCAGGGCTTCCCACTTTAGATATCACATATGCTTTAGCTTCTGCAGGCCCTGGGCACAGGATGGTCACTGGCTCCTTGGACAGAACCATGGGTTCAGGCATAGCTGTTATAAGAGGTCAGGGAAGATTTTCTAGAAGAAAGGGAATGGATAATGGAATTACAGGTGTGTTTGTTTTTCACACCATCCTTCCACATCATCCTCTCTTACAGCCGCTGGTCGGATGCCGAGTCCTCTCCTCCCAGTTGCCAAGAGAGCTCATATCTGGCCTCATCCAGGAGCAGGGACTTGGGAGTATTAAGAGGAATACTCACTGTTCTGTGCCTGAGTGCTCTGGCCTCGATACAACCATGGAAGGAAACAGCGGGTGAGACAGCTCAGACTTTAGAACCACCAGACCTGTCCCCTGTAGTGTTGTATTTGTAGCCAGGCCCTTCTCTCCCAGACTCAGCAAGACAGAGCAGGCTGGGAAGAGCCAGCGACATGGTCCTGCATCCAAGTTATCCTGCTGGCCCCAGTGATGTGCTCTTATGAGGAACAGACTTCTCTGAAAGTGACACAGACCTCTAGGAAGTGTGGGATGGCCTTGCTCTCACCTCTAGAGTGAAGACATCCATATCCTCTTTCCTCCACCTGGGTGTGGCTTGCAGAAGTGCCTGACATCATGAAGACATAATCATCTGAACTTCAAACTGCAATCAGTCCAGGCTAATCCCTACTTTCCATCCACTGTTTCACATGACAACTTTAAACATTCTGTATAAAGTGAGTGGTAAGAGAAATCAGAGGCAAAGAGCAGGACAGTAATAATTCCCTGCCTGAGAGCTTCTCTGAAATACCAAATGAGCTCATGGTTCTTGCCTTTTACTGCTGAGCTTCCGTCTCTTTCTGTACAGCAGGGGGCAATGACAGTGAGTTTCTGAAAAGCTGTGCTCACAGTGTGTGCACGTTGTCTATAACAGGGGTTGCTAAAGAGACAATAGCATGATTATTACTTCTTCTTCTTCCTCTGTCAATAGTCCCCACATGTTGGCAACTCTTCTCTCCAAGGGTATAAATGATGAACCTAAAGAAAGTACTTTCATGGATGTTGTCACACCTTTGTTCTTAAACTGTCACACTGGCTGAGGTTACTGAGTAGCTGTGCCATCCAGTCTTCTGGATCAACACGCAATTTTGATTTAAAATCCTTCTCTCATTCCACCTAGATGAGGCTCTCTCCTCCACAAATCTGAAATAATTTAATCCTAACCCTTACTTTGTTTTCATTTTATGAAGATTACGTGGCAGAAGAGTACATATGTATAACCTTCACAAAAATGGTGGTAGGTTGAGTCATTGCTCTTATCATTATTATTATATATTTTTCAATTATTTTATTGAGGTCATAATGGTTTATAACATCGTGTAATTTCAGCTGTACATTATTATTTATCAGTTTCAGTATAGACTGCATCGTGCTCACCACTCATGGTCTAGTTTTTATCCATCACCATACATACGTCCCCTTTACCCCTTTTGCTCATCCCATCTCCCACTTCCCCTCTAGTAACCACTAATCTGTTCTCTTTATCCAAGTGTTTGCTTACTTCCACATATGAGTGAAATCATGCAGTTTTTGTCTTTGTCTGGCTTATTTCACTTAACATCATACCCTGAAGATCCATCCATGTTGTTGCAAGTGGGGCGATTTTGTATTTTTTGTGGCTGAGTAGTATTCTATTGTTTATTTATTCCATGTCTTCTTTATCCATTCATCAGTTGACGGGCACTGGGTTACTTCCACGTCTTGGCTATAGTGAATAATGCTGCAATGAACATAGGGGTGCATAAGTCACTTTGAATTGTAGATTTCAAATTCTTTGGATAAATACCCAGTAGGGGCTCTATCCAGTGGATAGCCAGATCATATGGTATTTTTATTTTTAATTTTTTGAGAACTCTCCACACTGTTGTCCATAGAGGCTGCACCAGTTTGCATTCCCACCAGCAGTGTAATGAGGTTCCCTATTCTCCACCTCCTCTCAAACAGTTGTTATATTTTGTCTTGATAATTATAGCCATTCTAACAGGTATATGGTGATATCTCATTGTAGTTTTAATTTACATATAACTAATAATTAGTGAAGTTGAATATCTTTTCACGTGCCTCTTGGCCGTCAGTATATCTTCTTTGGAAAAGTGTCTGTTCATAGCCTCTGCCCATTTTATGATTGGGTTGTTTGTTTTTTGTTGTTGAGTTGTATGAGTTCTTTATATATTTTGGAAATTAAGCCATTATTGGATACATGATTTGCAAGTATTTTCTCCCTGTAGGTTGGTTGTCTTTTCATTTTGTTCATGGTTTCTTTTGACTTGTAGAAGCTTTTTAGTCTGAGGTAGTCCCATTTGTTTACTTTTTCTTTTGGTACCCTTGCCTGAGTAGACACAGTATTCAAAAAGATGCTGCTAAGACCTATATTGCCTATATTTCCTTCTAGGTGTTTTATGTTTTCAGGTCTTACTTTCAAGTTTTTAATCCATTTTGAGTTAATTTTTATATATGGTATAAGATAATGATCTACTTTCATTCTTTTGCTTGTGGCTGTCCAGTTTTCCCAACATCATTTACTGAAGAGACTTTCTATTCTCCATTGCATGTTCTTGGCTCTTTTTTCAAAGATTAGCTATCTGTAGATGTGTGGTTTTATTTCTGGGCTCTCAATTGTGTTCCATTGATCTGTGTGTCTGTTTATCTGCCAGTACCATGCTATTTTGATTACTATAGCTTTGCGTTTTATTTTGAAATAAGGAGGGTGATACCTCCAGTTTTGTTCTTGCTTTGGCTATTGGAAGTCTTTTGTTGTTCCATACGAATTTTAGGATTCCTTGTTCTATTTCCCGGAAAAAGGTTGTTGGGATTCTGATTGGTATTGCATTGAATCTGTGGTTTGCTTTAGGGAGTATGGACATTTTACACGTGTTTATTCTTCCAATCCAGGAGCACAGAATATCTTTTCATTTCTTTATGTCTTCGTTGATTTCTTTCAATATTGTCTTATAGTTTTCAGTGTACAGTCTTTCACCTCCTTGGTTAAATTTTTTCCTAGTTATTTTATTCTTTTTCATTGACATTGTGAAGGGGATTGTATTCTTGATTTGTCTTTCTGATAGTTCATTGTTAGTGTTCAGAAATGTGAACGATGTTTGTATGTTGATTTTGTACCCTGCAACTTCACTGAATTCATTAACTTTTTTTTTTTACAAAGTAAAATTTTGTATTATATGTCTACATTACAGCACTATCATAATGGAAACTAAAGTGTCCACCAACAGGGGGCTTTGTAAGTAATTAATCAGAAGGGTATTATACAACTATTAAAAAAGAAGAGGTAGTAATATGAAAAAAGCAGATACCAAATGTCATGTGGCAGTTTATTTTTTATTTTTATTTTTTTTTTCATGTGGCAATTTAAAAACGTGTCAATATGGAAAAGAATTGATCTAAAATGGAAACAAAAATTGGGCTGGTTGAGGGTGGAATTTTGGGAGATGGTTTCTAGCTTAAAAAAATCATTTTAATATATTTTGCATGTAACTTTGAATTCATTTATTTTTTAAAATAGTTTTTTGGTGGATTCATTAGGGTTTTCTATATATGGGATCATGTCATCAACAAATAGTGACAATTTTAATTCTTCCTTTCCATTTGGATCCCTTCTATTTCTTTTTCTTGCCCTATCTAGTCGTTCTGTCTAGCACTTCCAGTACTATGTTGAATAACAGTGGCTAGAGTGGGGACCCTTGTCTTGTTCTTGTTCTTAGAGGGATAGCTTTCAGTTTGTCTCCATTGAGTATGGTGTTGGCTGTGGGTTTGTCATATACGGCCTTTATTTTGTTGAGGTAATTTCCTTCAATGCCCATTTTGTTTAGTATTTTTTTTTGTCATAAATGGATGTTGGATCTTATCAAATGCTTTTGCTGCATCTATTGAGATGATTATGTATGTGATTGTTATTCTTCATTTTATCAATGTGATGTATCAAATTGATTGACTTGTGGATGTTGAACCATCCCTGAATCCCTGAATAAATCTCACTTGGTTGTGGTGTATGACCTTTTAATGTACTGTTGTCAATTTGCTAATATTTTGTTAAGGATTTTTGCATCTGTGTTCATCAGCGATATTGGCCTGTAATTTTCCATTTTGTGTTGTCCTTGTCTGGTTTTGGTATCAGGGTATTGTTGGCCTTGTAAAATGTGTTAGAAAGTGTCCCACTCTTTTCAAGTTTTCAGAATAGTTGGAGAAGGATAGGTGTTAAATCTTCTTTGAATGTTTGGAAGAATTCACCAGAGAAGCTGTCTGGTCTGGACTTTGGTTTTTGGAAGGTTTTGGATTACTGTTTCAATCTCTTTTCTAGGGATTGGTCTATTCAGATTGTCTATTTCTTCTTAATTCAGTTTTAGGAGGTTGTATGATTCTAAGAATTTATTCACTTCTTTTAGGTTATCCAGTTTGTCAGCGTACAGCTTTTCATACTATTCTTTTGTAATCCCTTGTATTTCTGTGTTGTCTGTTGTAATTTCTCTTCTTTCAGTTTTGATTTTATTTATTTGAGTCTTCTCTCTTTTTTTCCTTAGTAAGGCTGGCTAACAGTTTGTGAAATTTGTTTATCTTCTTAAAGGACCAACTCTTTTTTTCATTGATCCTTTCTATCATTTTTTTAAGTCTCTATTTCATTTATTTCTTTTCTGATTTTTATTATTTGCTTCCTTCCTCAGACTTTTGGTTTTGTCTGTTCTTCTTTTTCTAGTCTTTTATGTATAGGATAAGCTTGCTTATTCGAGATTTTTCTTGTTTCTTGAGGTAGGCCTGTATTGCTGTAACTTTCTCTCTTGGTACTGCTTTTGCTGCATTCCATAAGATTTGTCATGTTGTGTTTTCCTTTTTCATTTGTCTGTAGGTATTTTTTGATTTCTCTTTTTATTTTTTTATTGATAGAACAGTTGTTCAGTATCATGTTGCTTAGTCTCCACATATTTGTGACTTCCCAGCTTTTTTCTTATATTTGATTTCTAGTCTCACAGTACTGCAGTTGGAAGAGATGCTTGATATTATTTGCATTTTCTTAAATTTAT